CTGAATAAGCGTCTAAGAAGCTCAGCAGTTCATACCCGGTTGTTGCATTAATAAGTTGGTCGATATTGGGTAATGGGGACGAATCCTTCGTGCATGTTTTTATTTAAGTCTGGAAAATCCACGCACATCCGCTATTTCCCAGTCTTCTTTTTAAACATGACCATGTTGGTGACCCACTGGGGGTACTTCGATTCCCTGATGGAGCCATTTTCCTACATTTTTTTCTACCTCTTCACGTACCGCGTAATTGATTGCGAAGTTAAACTTACGTCTGACTTGTCTCACTAGGGATGGAATGGGTCGATGCTCAGTTTATGCGTGGCAATTTCCTTTGGGATACCCGGCATATCTGCATGGCTAAAAGTAAACAAATCTGGGTTAGTTGTTAAGAATTGACGGAATTTATCGGGTTCCTGAAGTTTGCAACCGATGTAAGCTTTCTTGCTATGGTCATTGAGGTCTAGTTGAACAGGGTCGATGTTTTCTATGGTCGATCCTGCAGCTTCGACTATATTGGGGTTTTTGATGATGCCCTCGCTATCGTGGCATACCAACCTCGACCCTATTGATTGCTATGCTTTTTTTATTTGTTATTCATTTGTTGAGTGTTCGTGCTGTCTAGGGCGATGCAGTAGCATTAGCGGGATGTGCGTTTTTTCCCTCTGTATATTGAATATTCCCCATGGGGTCGGGAACTTGATGACCTGGTACAAACTAGAAAAGACGACCCTCATGGTGTGTATCCATGGTCATCCTATTATGGCTTGTACGTTGTGTCTTGGTCCATAATATGGAACGTGGTTTCCAGAGTGATGCAACCGGCCAGAGCGGGAGTGTGATTTCGCTAGATGTCCTCTCGACTGCATTGTTAAAACCAGTTAGCGTGATATAACGTGACACTATCTTATCTCCGAGTCTCATTTATGCAAGTACTCGAGGATGGATAATGTACGCTCTGCTTCCATCATCCACTTCATCTCACATCAATATCTAATATTCGTAAAGTAATAACGAGGGCATCATAGTTAGGGAAAGCCAAACCATTGGTATTCGACTTATCGAAGATGATACTTTCTCCGAGTTCGTTATACCGTTCGCGGGTGATCGACCGTTTGAGCTTGTGTGTAGTGGTGAACTTCACGTTGTTGATAGAAGTGTCATCACCATCACCGATGATCATGTGAATGGTGCGAGTTGGTGAGGACGGCTTCGGTGGTCCTTGGTGTTGCTCGCATCCTATGGCGAAGTTGGTCCTTCCCCAGTCGCTCAACAACTCTTTGAGGTGCCCTTGTCGTAGCATGTTTACGACATCCTGCCTTAGAGAAATGCAATATTCAGTTTTATGCCATCGTTCTTGATGGAACTCGCAGAGGGCGTCTGACGTTTTAGTGCTCGGGTCTGACCTCATCTTCTGCAGCCACCTTACCTTCAGTCCAAGCTTCTCCAGGCCGTAGACTATCTCTGTAGGTATCACACAAAAATTGTGAACGGATAATAAAGAGGGCATACCTCTTTCATTCCGACGAATCCCTGCCCATGGTCTAGGAGGGCCTTCTACGTAGTGGGAGGAGGACGCTATTACATACGATTGGCGTTGTTCCCTATTAGGTAGCAGGAATGCAAGGTGTCATGACCCAAACCGATGGGCCGCGATGGGTGTCTGGGTCCTACCTGTCGAGCATCCTTAAGCATGCATTTAAGATATAAACATGAATAACATATACGAGGAAAACCTGTCCAAAAGACATATGTACATATACATGCGGAATACAGTGGGCGAGCCGGCAAGGTTGCAATAGACAACTATATACCCAAAACTGAAAGCCGACAAGGCCACATACTATCCGACTTTACGTAGTTGTCTACAGACCTCTAATAGAAATACAGTTGTACAAAGACGTGACTGAGCCACATCATACCTATATACATATATACAAGCATATCAGACCAAAATTAAAAGCAACTCCGGATCAAGTGGAGCACACAAACTCTCGCTGATCAATGATCCAAAAAAGGGGGACCGTCGGTTTGCCTACCTGCACCTGCGGGCATGAAACACAGGCTCCGGGAAATAGGGCGTCAATACGAATAATGTACCGAGTATGTAAGGCATGAAAATCAGTACATAAAAGACATAAATGAAATATAGAATAAAGAAATCCATATGTAAGTCTGAATAACTTTGTAAATTCTGAAACATTTAAAATGTCATGCACGTGCATATAAATGTCGTGTCATGCATAAGTATAGGTGTACATAACATCATCAAGCCTCCGAGGGCATCCCATCATATCGTCTCGACCACTGTGGGCAACATCGTCAATNTTGGAAGTGTTTTTTTTGGATTGAGTTTAGCGTGTGATATTTCTTGAAATTTGTAGACAATGCAACCATATTAGAATGCAAAGATTCAGTGGAGAGCATTGGAAATTTTATAACTCTTTTTCGAATCTATTAAACGAATAATGGTGGAAACAACTTTTTCACTTGTTCTTGAAACACTTTGAATTAGGAAGAAAGGCTTATAATTCACTTTGTCATTCTCTGTCCAAACGAGACCAATTTGTATAATGAGACCAACTTTGAATTAGGAGGAATATCTTACACGTTAATGGGAAAGGTATCTTAGATAGCCACATAAGCCAATATGACTAAGAGTCATTTGGTTAAGGACTGGCTTGCTGCCACATGGGGGTGAGGGATTTTTAAATCGTTGTCTACTAATTTATTAATTAGGTAATTTTCCGTTACCCGATAATTAATCAATTACCCGCATAATTAAGAATTGTCTCAAATTACTTAAAATACTATTCATTTTTAATATACTTTATACATCATACTATCATGATCATATGGTACCTTGTATGGTACTAGTCCATAAATATCGGGTATTATTGTTCTGACCGTATTTTATCCCAAATCGACGACCTTTAACGAAACTTATTTTCTTTAATTCGTGTATCCTCTATCTTTCATGGCACTTACTTATTGCTTGTTATAAATAACATAAATACGTTAACCTCAAGATAATCTCATTCCCGAGTCTACGTCGATTAACTGAAGATGAAATTTTAACGTATGAAAACGCGAGATGTAACACAAGGTATCTTCTGGTATCATTTCTTCGATCTTTTCCGGGTTCGGCCTGTACCGAGGTCAATCAATGAGCTGGTCTATTGAGGTCGTCCTCATATGCTCGGACCTCGGCATAGTATGCGTTGTCTATTTCATCCCAAGTGGTTGGGGGGTACTTCATCAGTCGACTTAATAGCTTTCTAGTTGCCCTCAATCCATCCCTGCTCAGCCCGTTCTGAAAGTCCGCGACCGCCATCCCTTATGACACGTTAGGTAGGGTCATCCTTACTCAGTTGAACCGAGCGAGGAAGTCCCTCAGCCCCTCCCCCGGAGACTGTTTAATAGCAAATATTCATTCACTCTCGCCTCAGCCTTCTTGGCCCCTACATGGGCCGTTACGAACTTGTAGGCCATCTTTTCAAAAGTTTCAATGAAGCGAGCAGGCAGTTGCGAATACCATGTTAACGCTCCTCCTGTGAGGGTTTCACCGAATTTTTTTAACAAAATGGAAGACACTTGTTCTCTGGTGAGGTCATTGCCCTTCACGGCGGTGCGTAGTAAGTCACGTGATCTTCAGGGCCAATTTTGCCATCATATATCTTGAGGTAGGGTGGCATTTTAAAGGTTTTTGATATGGCATGTGGGGCGGCATCATCACTATAAGGCTGCTCGACGAATCGACCGGCATATCTCTTCGGCAAAAGCTTAGGGGCGCCTGGTATCTTATCGACCCTTTCTTGGTGTTCTCTCATTTGGTCTCGGAGTACTCTATTCTGATTCTCCATTTTCCGCATCCTTTTTAGAATGGTTATAAGAGCATCATCGCCTGCACTATTAACGACATTGTGAATAATACCTGTTTGTTGGAAGAGGATGGAGTTGGGTGTGCTGCTTGTTCGCTGGTTGTATAATGCAAGTTCTTGCGATTTTTGTAGCCGTGTCCCGGGCATGCTTATAGAAGACGCTGGTTAGTGTATCGGTTAGCCACGCCTCAAAGAGCTGTTTTATGGTTGGGGGGGTCTCCTGTGCCACAGACGTATGAGCTCCCTTACCCAGAGATTTGGTGATGTTGCAGTGAGGAGGAGGTGATCCACCTCGCCTAGGGGAGGCATGGGGCGTTGTGTCTCCATATGCTGTTTCAGAGCTTTCATTGATGACGTTTATGAGGTTGGTTGGAAGATCACCTATTATCCTCGTCCTCTCTTCCCTGTTACCTGCCATATTGGGATTTGTGTACACAAAAAAGGAGATCTTATTCTTGTTTTTTTTTCTTTTTATGTCCGAGATTCGTGTTAGCAATAGATCTAGAAACTAAAAATATGACAAGGAAATCCCCGTAGACGGAGCCAAATGAGATACGTTATAATAAAAGTTTAGGAACCTTAATTAGGAAATATTTAATAAACTTTAAAACTCCGCCTGTTCACTTTATTTGTCCAATATTTTAAAAATAGATTTTCACTATTACTTATCACTTTTAACATATTAAGAGAAGACAATTTTTTTTTTCCCGTTATACCTACAATATTAATTAGTCTTTTTAAATCATTTCTCAAATCCATTAAAAATATGCATCAATTAATATGTGTATCATGGTAAATTATGTATTTTATTTATTATTTCTTAAAGAGTGAACAAAATCCATAGTGAACAACTAAAAGTGAACGGTGGGGGTATATATAGAAAATTTCGATAAATATTGTGAATCTACATGGGACTTGTGTGGTAGATCCGCCAACAAGTCATGCCTTATTGGCCTTTATTATGCACGCCATCTGGTGAGAAACGTAAAGTATTTTTCCCTCTCGATTTCTCCGTACAGTAATAAAGAATAAAGAAATAGCAAAAAATATTCGGCGCACATGATGGTCCTAAAATTCGCATCCACATCATTCCTTTAAAAATAATCTGCAGAGGCGGGTAAATTTCGAAAAACCAATTTCATTTCAATCCAAAAATTTCATTTTTCCAAATTCATTTCCCGCCCTCTACAAGAAATAGAAAACCCCCCAAACCGAAAACAAAATCTATTTACAAATTACAAGTAAACTTTCCCTCTCTACTCCCTGCTTGTACAATGGCTGTTGCTTCAGGTTCTAAGCAAAAGGAAGGAAAAATGAAGAGCCCAACGAAGAAGAGAAATAAGGAGTCTCAAGAGCAATCGGAAAAGGTTATTTCTACTCCTGCGAAGCGTAACAATTGTCCCGGAGTACGCCTTGTGGGTGGGCGAATCTATGATTCTTTTAATGGCAAGACATGTCATCAGGTACTTTACTTACTACATCGTCACTGATTAATAACAGATTATGCTTGTGTTATACCTATTAATTGGTCTGTGTTTACTCTACTTGATGTGCTAATCAGTAGGAAAGCTGATAAGGGACTGAGGTTTCAGTGACTTGTTTTAAAATTAGGAAAATGTATTATAAATTGTTGTAAGTTGTTATATATGACTAGGACCATACGGAGAATTACTGGATTATTTGATTCCAAAAACCACCATTCATGGGTTGACGTTGATCCATGAAGGGCAGATGTAGAGTTCTAATTTAGTAGTTTTGGCTTGAACCTATATTTGTTTAAGAATTCACTAAATAAGTAAAATCAATTGATATTGAACCCAGTAAATCAAACGAGTTATGTTAGAATCCTGAACTCAATCCTTTATTAAAGTTCAAACACTGTCAAAGGTCAAAACTTGAATTCGCCTCTGTCCATGATGTAGAGTAAGTGAATTCAGTGGTGCAATTAGGGTGACAAGCAAATGTTGCTTCAAGAGAGTAATGAGTTAGGTTCCCTTAATATATGAATTCTAATGGGGTTATAGGGTTTGTTTCAATGGCAACCATAGTGTAGAATGTGACGCGCAGTAGGTGCATGTCATTATTCCAAATTTTGGGTGGTGAACTGAATTTGGTAATTAAGTGGAGAAGGGTAGAGAGGTGAGCCATTTTCATTGAGAAGTTTGAACATAGTGGGTTTTTGTTTATAAATAAAAATATAGATTCCAATGTGCTTCTAGGGTTATGGTTCAATGGCATAGCGCAGCACGTGATGTGTGGTGGGTGCATGACATCATTTTTAAATTTTGGGCGGTGAACAAATCTGGTATTTAAATGGGAATGGTAGAGGGGTGAGCCATTATGCACTGCGAAGTTGGAACATAGTGGAGTCTTTGTTTATCAAAAAAGGGAGGAGGAGGAGGAGGTGGAGGAGGCCGAGGAGGAGGAGGTTGAGGAGGAGGAGGAGGCCAAAGCAATGGGTTTGCTGCATATGCAGTCTATCCCCATTTAAGTTTGCTCTTGTGAAATTATTACTACTATCTTTTTTCCCCTAGTGATTTATGTGCTTCTGCTTCATTGCATTGTTCATCTTCATTGCATTGTTCATTAATGTAGTATTTATTGTCCAAAATCAACATTTACCCTTCATATGCATTTTCTGCTGCATTTGGATGGAAAAATGTGCTGCCACCATACTGCTACTTTTGGATTTCTTAATTAGTGAAGCATGTTTCTAACTTTGTCTATATTTTCTGAAGGAATTTATTTTTGTGCACTAGACACAAGTCAAGACTGTTGTAGAAATTAATGCAAGATTTCATTTTGTAGCCAAGCATAAAGGAAAGAATATTCTCTTTTTTCCTGCGTTGGTTTCACAGGAGATGTAAAGTTCTCTTGATGAAAGAGTCTAAAAACTGAACAATGGTTTTGGTGATTTTTCTTGCATTTTCAAGTAGAAGTTATTATTTGAATAATTTAATTTGGATAAAAATGTATTTGAAGCAAGACAAACCTGGCGAAGCTTTATGCTTCTTTACGGCATTTGGTTCATTTGTGTTAACATGCGGCTCTTGCACTACTCGTTGTCCATTTCTCATTACTGGGTGCATAGCATTGCAGATTATGAACTTATTGTCCTTCATCCTTTTGTTCTTTCAGCATCTCTTGTACTAACTTTTTACTGAACTTCATGCAGTGCCGCCAAAAGACTATGGACTATATGGCTGCGTGTAAGAATATGAGAAATGATAAGCCTTGTCCAATTCGTTTCTGTCATAAATGCCTATTAAACAGGTTAAAAGCCTTCCATCTTAATTTTTTCTGACAGCCACTATTCTTTTTATTTAAATGTGTACTTATGTTTTGTGAGCTTTTGAACTAGGTATGGTGAGAAGGCAGAAGAAGTATCACTTTTGGAGGATTGGAAATGTCCAAAATGCAGAGGCATTTGTAACTGCAGTTGTTGCATGTGTGTAGCCTTCTTTAGTTTGTTTTTAATATTTATTCTTTGAAAATAAATTTTAACATGGTCTTGGCAGCTTAATACTGAATACTGACTAACTCAATTCCCAGGAAGAGACGGGGTTGCCAACCCACCGGTATACTTGTGCACACAGCAAAGGCAACAGGATATTCTTCTGTTTCAGATATGCTGCAGACTAAGGGGCTTAATAATATTGATCGCATCAAAATTCTGAAAGACACTAATACTACAAACAATGTAATTTTGCTTTGATATCATTATTATGACACTGATAATAGGGAAATATTTGTCTGATTGTTAGCTCTGATATCTTGTTTCTAAATATTGACAGGAGGAAAGCATTGTTTTTCCTGAAAATCGGGGGAAGGAAAATTGTGTTGAAGGGGTGATAGACTTAATTATGCATCCTTCTCATTTGCCAAAAAGTCCCAGTGCGGGCTGTAAAAGGAAAGTGGTTAACGAAAAGCCCGATGGAAGGCTTTCATTAAAGGAGAATAATCCTCTTGGCAAGGGAAAATCTAAGAGAATCAAGCAAGAGGGAGCAACTGAAGTGAATGGTAAGACAAACAGTCCTAATAAAAGGAGATCAAGGAATAATGAAGTGAGTGACCTTGGTGTACAAAACATTCCATCTTCTGAAGATAGTCCACATGGTGGTGAAAAGAAGCCAAAAAAATTGATGCAAGGTCAACCAAGATCAAATTTTGATAGCAAGAGAGGTGCTGTTGCATCAGTGAAAGAAACTCTATTAGAAAAATCTCAAGATTCTAGAAAGAATGGCAAGGAAAGATCTGTCGAGGAAGGTTCTGTGAAAGATAACACTATTGAAAATAAGGATCCTTTTGCCTTAACTTCATTGCCCCAGGGCACTGGTTTGACAGCTGTTGGTGGCATTGATCTACAGTCGGAAGATATTGGGAATGCTTTACAATTTTTAGAGTTCTGTGCGGTTTTCGGAAAGGCAAGTAACTTAATACCAATACAAACTCTATTATGACAGCATGGTAAAAATATTTTTCATGCATTGAAGCTGTAATGTGGACGGGCACTTGTCATAGCTTCATTACTGAATTTCATGCTTGCCTACACATAGGGTACTGTTTGTTTTTCCTTAGTTCATTATTTCATTTTTGTTTCCCAAGTCTTGAAACTTGGTACATAGGGTATATCTGTTGGCGAGTTGCTTAGCTGAACACAAGTTTTATTGCCAGATTTCTTATGGAACATCTGTTTTCCACATGTAGTGTGCTTTCTTATCCACTTGCTTTGTTGCCAGTGGCTCTTTTCTGTTTCTAGATCTGTAGCATTTAGGAGGTGTACACAATTGGCTGATCAAATTTTTCTCAATTGTTCTTCTGTTCACGTTTGATAGATTCTTGACATCAAGAAAGGGCTACCAGAAGCTGTTCTTAGAGATATAATGCAGGGGAGAAGTTCACGACGTGGAAAATGTTCTTTGACAATACAGTTTCTTAGTAACTTGCTATCATTTTTAAAGGATGAGGATGAGGAAAGGTATAACTTTTTCTTCACATTTGTTTAAGAAGCACATTTCTTACATCTTCTAACATTTATATATGAATTTATTTTCCAGATTTTCAGCAGTAACTTCAACAGAAGGGAAAAACACATGGTATGCTGATATTAAAATGTGCATCTCAGAATCCCCCAGTGTTTCAAGAACCATGGGCTTGGATTCTTTAAGTAATGGAGCTGATCAATTTGAGAACTTGAGTCCCTCAGAAAAGCTCAAGATATTAAATTTTATCTGCGATGAAGTCCTTGAAACTGTGTAAGTATTGTCCTAGCCTTTTCCTTTCATCATTGTGTTTTCTATTATCTGTTTGTCTTTTTGTTGAAGTGAATTTATATCTTTTTCCAGAAAGATAAGGGATTGGATTGACGATCAAAACACAAAATTTGCTGAAAGGGCAAAGGAAGCAAAAGAAAAAGTTATTGCTGCAAAAGATGAGGTATGGAAGATATAAAAACAAACTTAACCTCATTGTGTGTCAAGTTACGAAAGCTAAAATATGAAATGTTATTACTTGTATAGGAGAAGCGCCTGAAGCAGAAAATGCAGGATTGGATAGCTCAAGCCCTAATTGCGACAAATGGTGCTCCACTCTCAATATCCGAACATGAAGCAATTGTTTCTCAAATTAAATGTGAAGCAGCAGAAGCTCATGCTTCTGTGATGGAGTCAAAGAACACTTATTCAAAGTGTATGTTCTTATTCTACATGCAGGTTTTAAGTTCATTTATTTTACATGTATGACTTGCATAAGTGTGCATATCTAATCAGTCATGTTAAAAGGAAGCCCAAAATGGAAAGACATGTTAATAGAGTAGATTTTCTGTTCATGATGGTGTTATGTGGACCAATAAACGACTTGTTATATATTTTCTATTCTAGCTCTAGAACCATGTCATCAGTTATTACCTTATAGGATATATAGAGCCCCAGGAGAGATTCTAAACCTTTTGCTTTAACATGGAGTAAGTTTCGTGCTAGTACACCAACTTAAAGAGGCGCAATTAAGTTAGTTACATTCATTCTATTTGTCTCACTCTAGATTGAATAGAAGGTTTTCCTTGTTCACTTGCCATAAATAATGTTATTGGCAAATCTGATACCTAAACCAGANGTTAACTCAGCGAATAGTTAACTTTGCAAGTTGAATGACAACATTGCCCTTAGGGAGAGTACCTTTACTCTCCTCTCATCAATTGAAAATTTGTTAAATATTCCACTGTCTTACAAAGGTTAGTATTTTCTCCGAGAAATTTATTATTAAATTGTATGCTGAGTTGATCATAAAATGCTTTTACTTGTTTCACTTTTTGGACCAATATATAATTTGATCCAGTCAAGCACATCGGTAGATCACCATCCTTCTCAAAGAAGTAAATTGTAGTACCTTGATAATATGGTGAATAGGTTGTCGGCTGTTGCCCCACATTCCATAATATAATGGCTAGTGAAAAGATGGAAACTTCTACTTTTTCACAACCATCAAACACCTGCACCATGCGACCAGAGAGGATAAAGAGAAGATCAATAACACCAAAATCAATCATGTAAAGTGAAACAAAGCAAAATTATATTAACATATGTTGCTATTTCTCCATCCAGGCTTTCACTTTATTCATAAATGAAATTTCTGTATGAGATATGCGAAATGCTTGTTTGTTGATGATTCCTGGTCTATTGGAATTTCAAATATATATATATATATTCTGACTGTTTTCTTTTTATCTATAGATAATCAAAGATCTGAAGCTGTTAGGACAGAGCCTTTCTTTTTAGGCACTGATGGTAATGTGTATTGGAGACTAAAATGCTATTATGACAAATCCGTTCTATTATGTCAAGGTTGGTTCAAGTATATGACATTTTGCTCTGTTTTTGCAACTGGCATTTGAATGACCTTCTCTATAACTATTTCATATACAGACATAGGAACTGGTGATACTGCTGCATCTGATGAAAAATGGTCCGCTTTTGATGTTGGACAGAAAGAAATCATTGAGAAGCGCATTAATTTTTCAAGGTTTGTAATGCAAATACTATATTTCATTAAACTGGTAGAGATTTCCAGGACTGGGTTCCCATTTTTTCCAGCTAGCTATTTGAAGAGCCTGAATTTCAGGATTGACATGCTTTATTGTCTAGAATGAGAAACAAGTGCAATGACTGGACACCATTTACAGAATCCTAAGAGAATATTTGCTGTAATTGGGATAGCAGGACAAACAGGATAGGAATTTCTCCTGAGAATAAATCTCTTAATCTGTTCATATGAGACCATCCACTTTAAATCTTCCCCGATTCACTTGCAGACAAGTTGTATGTTTCAACACAGTTTTGTCTGATTGTCTGACCTTTAGGATTTTCCTACTTTTTGACTTGTCAAAAAAAAAAAGAAGGTTTTCTCCTAGTTCTATTGCTTGGTCAGTGTAAAAGCTCCTTTTAGTTTCTTCTTTATTGTTCTGGAATATGCGAACTGTAGTACTTGCCTTTCTGATTGCTACTTAGACCACTCCCATGGAGGGCCGAAAGGAATATACTTTTCCCCTGTTCTATGCGCAGGAAGTCAGAAATGGCCTTGTACCAGTCTAGTAATTGAGATAAAACATCCTTTAGTAAGGTGAAAAATGCATTCATTTGTCTCATGGATCAAGTAATCCTTGCTGCCAATATGTTGTCTCGGCTTCTACTTGCAGTTTCCCACTTCGGATTAGCATTACTTGGATGCTGATCTAGTATAAAGTTAATAATCTTTCTGAGTTGATCAGGCGTTACTGTTTGTAAGTTTTAATTCAGAATGAATCATATTTCTTCAATTGCAGGGTAAAGAGGGTCAGAGCTCACAAAGTCCAGGGGATACTTCCATCTCATAATAGTGAAGCTATTGCTTAAGATCTTTTATGATTTTTGACAACCACGTAGTAGAACCCAGGTACTAAATATGTTCTGTAACATGTCAAGAGATGCCTGCCTAGCTAAGATCAACAACCATTGTTATCATATTACATGCAGTTCCTTGGAGGAATTCAGTGGGTAGCGGCTTCTCTTATGGATGGTACTTTCACCCTTATCTTTCTGTGACTTGCAGATTCACAGTACCAGAAAAGAAGAGGGTAGAGGATAGGATTTGAAGATTACATTTCAATATGTTACCTTTACCTTCTGGTTGTAACGTTTTGTCAGTCACCTCTAGGAATATTGTAACTGCAGTTGTATCTAGTTTCGATTGTAATGTGCCTTCTCCATCCACATCCTTTTGTTGTTTCTATTTGAACTGCATTTAATGGTAGCGTTATCTTATAACATACTTGTTGCTATATGATGTGTGCTGAGGTCATTTGTGTTGAATTTGGCAAAGTCCCACATCGGTGGGTTAGTCATTTGGTTGGGAAATTTTTCCTATAAAAGAAGGCTTAATGTTTAGGATTTAAACACACTTCTCATTTGCCTTCTCATCTGTTTAAGGCATTTGTATCTTCTTTCTTTAGTATTATTTCACTTGTATTTTTGGAGTGAAATAAAATATTGGTTGTGTCCGAGGAGCAGACAAAATTAGCCGAATCTCGTAAATTCTGGTGTTCCGTTTATTGTTGCTTGTCTTATTTATTATTTGGTGGTTGTCATAATTTTTGGTATAGTAGTTGTGACTTATTCACACTATATACATTTGGTTTCCGCAACAATTGGTATCAGAGTCAATGTACTGTCTAAGTATGCTTTGTGGTTGCAGCATAGTCTGATCTTCCACATCAGAAAAGATTTATCTTGGTAACTGAGTCAAGGTTCTGTCTGAGTATGCTCTATGGTTGCAACTTAGTCTGATCATCTACATCAGAAAGGAAATAATCTTGATTTGTGTCGTCAGCTATTAAATAATATTTGTGTCAAA